GCCAGCATGGTAAAACCTCAAGGAAACCTGCCAACTCAAGGAAAAACCCTCTAGATGGGTACACACGTCTGGGTAGCAGCAAAGTGCAATATACATCCCCCTCCTCCTTCCCCCCTCCCTCCACCCCCCGTTGGCGAACTGCCCTGATTCCACTAAGCGCAAAGTGGGAGCGCAATATTGTATGAATAAGATAGTCCTACCTGAGTTACTGAGGAACAAGCCCTCACTGATGCACAGCATGGCACAATCCGATGTGACGTCCTCAGTAATGATATGAAGGATCTCATCTGTGGAATTTTAGAAAAAAATCAAAAACGACTACAATACAACTCATGCCATCATCTAACTCAAACTTCAGTAAACGAAGAAACGCTTTGATGTTGAATACAGAAGTAATTTCATAGAATATTTATGTAATGTCAACAAAAAACAACGTGATGCATCGAACAGCAGTGTTCTAACACTTATGCAAGTGCTACAATAAAAGTGGCTAGAAACCGGCAGAAAGTAAAACAAAGTCTCGAATACATAGCACATCTCTCTAATACATCCAGAACATTTCAATTGAGCGCATTCTTCTTGGCCGAAAAAGCTTCCCACATCAGAATTCACTAGCCTCCCAGAAGCTTCACTTCTCATGCAACACAACTGCATGCCAAGTGCCAGTTATCGATGAAGTAAAAGCGTTTTAGGGAGCAGTTCGGCGAACGAAAGGGGCATTTTGCTTTTTCGCTGCTTCCCTCTTTATTAAGCAGAGGGGGACGGGGTGCATTCCTTAATTTCCTTCCTGGCAATTTTTTTGGTCCTTAATTTTTTTTCCTGGCAGTCGACTTTTCCTTTTCACACTATACACATCGCTGGGGGTGAATTCCAGTAGGGGGGGGTCGTATTTGCTTGTCGCTGAGGGGGAGGGTCGTGATCACTGAAAAATTTCTCTAGCAGCAGGACGTGTCCTGTTTCCAGTTCTGCACTTGTTGAATGGACTTGTCGATGGGAAGTAGCAAGAGTACAAATGCCCCCCCCCTCTCGCCAAACAGCGCCCATTTAAGAACAAAATCTGCCCAATAGTATTTCGTACTGGGCAAAGCAGATAAAATTGGTAGAAATCTGTGCAAACAAACATTCAAACAGAAACTTTACCCGAACATGATGAGGACAAATAAAAGTAACACGAGAAGTATGCTAAAATCCTAGCATATGGGGAAAGAAAATAAAATTTTGTTAGGCCGTGTTCATACTCTGGGGATACTCTCCGATTTGGGAGACTCAACGTCGAGAGGTGTACGAGTAGAAAAGTATAGGCATCGACTTGGCGATTTCAGAGATTCGGCGATCCCGCGATCTCCTAAAATGTCATATAGCTGTGTCTCCCGAATCGGCATGTCGCCGGATCTCCGGAATCGCAAACGACCGATGTCAATCGATCCCCATTCACCCATCTAATACGCAGTCACTCGACAGAAAGCCGAGTATCCCAAATCGCCTCGTCTCCTCAGTCGCAAAAGTATGAACGCGGTCTCAAGAAAAAACAACTAGAACTGATAATCACAGGAAGAAGTGCTGAAGAATCATATTATGCTGATTGTCGTTTCGCCGATTCAGGCAATTATCAAATTTCCGAAGGAGTACAAAGTAAATTATCACATCACCAAGTAGCTTCAGCTGCAGGTTTTCTTTTCAGCATTCTGACCATTTATAAGAATTAACTCTTAGATTTTTTGTTTTTTTTTAGGTTCAGAAAAAAGATCTTGGTAGTTGCAATGTTACCCTGCCAGATGTTGAGAAAGGGTTTCACTCTCCTTACAAAACAGTGCAGGCGTCGTAAAGGCTTACAAAGACGCTCATAGTACTTTCAGTTTTTCGTAAAACTTCGGGTGAAGGTGTTCAAATCGGTTATTTTAAAGACATTTAACGACAAGATGTCCTTCACAGTAGGCAAGAACAGCACGTTCGGAGTTGGCCGCTGGACGCAAACGAGAGAGGAAATACGGAGCTCCGCATTCCGACGATTGAAAGTCAGCGACGCCAGCCACATGCCAAGGTTTCGAAGATCAGGTGGGCCGGGCACGTCATGCGTTTCGAGGACGACCGCTGGACCAGAGCGATCACCGACTGGATTCCACGGGATGTCAAGCGAACGCCTGGACGACCGCCTATGCGATGGTCAGACTTCTTCGTGAAAGCTCTGAACGAATGGTATGAAGTTCGTGTCCCTCGAGCAGAGAGAGTTCATTGGGCAACTCTTGCACGTTGCAGGGACGAATGGAGACGTTACTGGCGCCCGCTCGAGGAACTCGATGATCACTCGGAGCTCAGGTGACAGGTGATGTGAAATGAGGGCTCTAAGAGAAAAGCGCAGATTTCATTTTGCCCCCGAGGATCTACGATATGTAGAGTCCCTGAAGGGGGTATCCTTTCAGAACATCCATGTCGCTGGATCGAGCGCAAACTAGCAGACTATTTCTTACACAAGCGACATACTCTGCCACGCTGAATTAATTGGGACCTGGTGCGAATGTCGCGCACGCGAACGTCTCACTGCCATCGCCTCAACGTGGATGAGTTGAACTAAACCCCTCAACGGCAGAAATGAGGGGTGGTTGATGCCAACGTCATTGAAAGAAAAGCCGCGGGAGGGCGTTTGGCCGCAAATTCACAACACGCTGGGCAGTTTGGCCAAACCTTCTCCTTCAGCCCTTCCACCAGTGGAGCTGGCGAAATACAGCCCGTTTCCAGCATCGTGCCCACTGCCTCTGAGGAGAGCTTAGCCAGCGCAAGATATCCCAAATCTCAGAATAAAAGGCAATTATGAACCATCGATTAGTAATCAAAAATATTTAAGAAAATTGCGAAGATCTTCGAAACACCTGAGCAAAAATATTACACTTGGTAAAACCTGCAGATAACGCTACCTGGTGAGCACTCAAACTGCTCCTGATGCAGAGATATCCAGGCTTTTCGGAAAAACCCCTAATAATACTTTCAACAGCATCTTCTATATCATATCGATCAATCTTTTCCATCACTTACAAATATCGCGAATAAGCCACACTTTTTATCAGGAAATCAAATAACAATCTACTTACTTTTCTGCTACCAATTTAAGCATAGGAAATATTGGTGAATCTGGCATGAAATGAAACTTTATTCGTCGATCTCTTATATTACCGGCTAAGAGTAGACGGGCCACGACGACGTTAGTTCGGCACACCAAAATCAGCGGTCTGAAAGTAATTTGAATACCCTCAGTAAACAGGTTCGCAGATATTACAGTGCATCAGGGAAAGAAATTTCGATAAGAAATT